AGATTTAGTGATGGTTATGTTTGTCTTTTTGTTTAAGGTAAAGGCTTTACATACAAATGTAATGAATACATCAAAAATCAACGCATAGGATGCTTTAAAATTAAAGTGGCAAATAAAAAGCAATGAACATTATATTAACATAAAAAGGGAACAATCATCATTTCAAAAAAAAAAATTAGAATTGATTAAACTTGTAATAAGAGGCTCCGATAGGAACTTCCTTCGAGATGAAGCACTACATAAAGTATTATTAGTTTATAATTAAAATCGAATTGGGACGTACATTATTGCACATTATAAGCTACTGATTTGTATAAAGAGAAAAATTTATATATTTAATCTTATATATTTAAAGTACTTGTTTTCAATTAAATTGAGACATTTTTATCCATAACAAATTTTTATTATTAATATTATTAATATATTAAAATTTACATATCTTAATTTAATTAAATAAAAATACATTAAATATATAAAGTTAATTATATAAGCCTCGTCCTTGTGTCAGGCACATCTCATGACAAAAGAGATAAATATGAAGTTCAAATGTTCAATTCAGTGGGTAAAAGACAAGCAAGGTTGATGTAAGCGGTGCTAGTAATACCACGGCAGTGTTTAAGGAATAATAAATGTCTTCAGTTTTAAAAATACTCTCATCATCTAAAATTATAAAATATTTTTAAATAAAATTTTACGTATCAATAAAATTTATTAAATATATTTTATAATTTTATTTTTTTAAAATAAAAATTTAAAATTTAAAAAAATATTCATTTAATAGTTCACTGATAAAAAAATAGTAAAAAAAATATATGAAAAAAATAATTTTAAAAAAATATCATTAATAAAATTTTATTTTTATTATAGTGTTTTATATTTTAGACATTAATTTTTTTAAAAAAATATTTTATAATTTAAAATGAAAAAGATATTTTAATTTATCCAACCTCACGATTCGCAAGTTGCATGCATGGCAAACAAAAAAACAAAACAAAACTTGCAATCATGCTCGCGTGTGTGCGCGTGTGTGTGGGGGAGAGAGAGAAATTTTACTTTCTGTCATCAGACAAACGCCTAAAATTTTACTTTCATTTAACAGAGGCTTTGAAGTTGTATTGATATCACCTAATTATATATTATAGATGTGATTCGTCGTTTGTATGCAATGATGACCATATAATCCTCCCTGTGGGTCCTAACTTCACCTTAATCTCCGTGGAATTCAAAATGAGTGGCTGGTAATATTCTAACGGGTGTCAGGAGTTGTAGAAATTTATATTGAATCAAATGCCCTTTTTTACATTTTAAATTCCTTTAACATTATAGTCATATAAAATTTTTATCATTTTAAATATCTTATTATCTTCGTATTGTTATTATAATGCCTTTAAAATTCTCATATCTTTTTTTCATCTTCTATTATCTTTTCTGATCAATTGAAAAATATAAATTAATTTACTATTTTTAATTTTTTATTGTTCTTTTAAATTTTAACTCATTTCTCTTCTCATTTGAAACTGTTTAAACTTTTTAAATAAGAGATTTTAAATAAATGAATTTTAAATTTCAAATTTAAAATATCATATTTTTAATTTAAAATTTAAATTTAAATTTATCAATCTAAACACTACCTGAATTTTTATTTAAAAAAAGAACACCACCCAAAATTAATCAGAGCCTCGGGATTCAAAAATAGAAATCAACAATATAAATAGCCCAATTGAAATGACAACAATCTCAAAAACACATCAATTGCTTTGTTAATTTGTGTGGATAGGTAAAGTTGCTCCCCACCACCCCCTCCCTCCACACACACACAGAGAGAGAGAGAGAGAGAGAGAGAGAGAGAGAGAGAGAGAGAGAGAGAGAGAGAGAGAGAGAGAGAGAGAGAGAGAACGCAATGATGATCAAGGTTACGTCTTGGCTTTTTTTTTTTTTTTGGTGCATTTCTAAAAATCACGTAAAAATTCATGGAGCTCACTGCACGTTCACAAATATAGAAAATAGGACATGGAGTATAAAACAAACATTTTGTAAATATGACTTGGTTGGAGCCATGTGTTTTATTTATTTATATTATCCTTGATTTCAAATGTAAGAGGTTTTTTAACCCAAATCACACGAATTTAAAAAATTAAATTAATTATTTCTAATTAATATGTCGATAGTAATTTGTGATAATTTTTTTAAATACCTCTTCAATTTAACTGGTTGTGATTTTTAATCATTTAAATGTACATGAATCTACCCTTTTTTAAATATTTATTCTTTTTTTGGTAATATTTTTAAATACTTATGCTATTATAAACTATGATGTGAATCGTTATGTTATTGGCTTCCACGCTGACGATATTATACAAAGCAGCATTTAGAAGATACCCAGTCAAGGGGTAAATCAATGATTTGCGCCCTTTCTTAAAAAAATCCAAGTTATTTTCTTTTGTTCAGATGTTAAAAATATAAGATACTTTCAATTTTTAACACGTAATTAATGAGTTTTTTAAAACATTCTCAACGAATAAATTACTCAATCCTTGACTAAAATATCATATTAGATAAAGAAAAGTATAAAAAAATTATATTAATTTAAAAATAATTTACTAATTTATTGAAAGTTATAATTTAATTAAAAATATCTTGCAATTGAGAGGATATAACATATTTATGCAAATTTTGAATTCCGGTTTCAATGCTTATTTATTATATTAGAATGGTTATTGTTTATTTTATACTTTTTAACATAATAAATTATATAATTATTAAAATATATTATATTTTCCATGCAATAGATAAATATGCGTGGTACACAAAATATTTACAAGTTATGCACATTGATAATCACAACAGTTTGAATTAAAAAAGGGCATGGTTAGACCATTTAACCTGTCTTGATTGTCAACTTAGGTTAGCCTACTTTAGCCTGGGAGGTTTTGAAGACTAGAGAAAACTTGAGACTCCAAATGGTTGGAGTATTTTGACATATTTTTAATATACATATATGTATGTAAATAATATTTTTATTTAATTATTTTATCATCTATTCAATTATCGGTTGAGCTATAAAAATCACAACTCGCTGACCTTTTTAATTTATCATCAGGTCCAATTTTTATGGGCTTGTTTGGAATTGATTTTGAGACCAAGATTATGATTTTGTAAAAAATTATCCAAACATCCTGCTAAACTCTATTTGGCTTGTGAAATTTTCTTTTAGAAAAAGCTGAAATTTTTTCTATTTACAAAACTCTATTTTGCTCCTTTTCTTTGTATTACTTATTTACACATTTAAAATTAATTCTTAAGAAATCATCTAAGCATCTTCAATTTATTAAAATCAAATTTTAAAAATTTATTCAAACATCGTCCCGTTCTAGTAATTTATTTTTTTCAATTGAAACCCAAACACACTTTAAAACACTGTTGATGATCACAAGAGCATGAATCTCTCCATAACCGCAGTTAAAAAAAAAATCTAGTAATAACAATGTACAAGACTTCCTCCCCAAAAACTGATGGAAATAAAGAAAAGCTTGAATTAAAAAGAGTTAATTTATAAAGATGTTAAATTTGCAATTCATGAAGAGTAAATGGAAAAAAATAATAATTATGGTATTTATTAAGGAGAGACGGCAAAATTTTCCATAAGGAAAAAATTGTCGGCATTTTTATGACCCCACCTTCACTATTATTGTTTCATTTTCTCAAGTGAATGTAGGGATCATTTTTAGAAATGTAAATGTAATAGCAAGTTATATTATCTATAGGCTATAATTAGTACACCTCATTTACTAAAATTTTTGCAATGCTTGTGCTCATTGAAATCCATATGATATGTCAAAAAAAAAAAAGACAGTGATGTAATTTGATTGAGTATTAAGCCAAAAAAGTCAATTTCAGGGGATTAACTAATGAGATAGAAAAAATGTCAAAGTTGGATATTTAGAGGGAGAGTGGCAATTTGCGGATTCCAGCTTATCCTCATGCAAATCAGAAAAGGAATCAAGTCTTTATTTCCATCCATTCAATTTTCAACAAATAGGATTTCCAGGTAAGTAATAATTGACTACATATACATCCCCTTCTGGCAACTTGTGAAATCTATCAAATTTAGTAAGTAATATAGCAATTGACTACTCGCTCTTTTCTTCTTCTTTTTCCCCCCATTTCCCCTTAAATGAAGATTGTCATAGTTTACTAATTAAAATTCCCAAATTGGCATGCATGAGATAGGTTATTGTTACTTAAATAAGTGGTTAATGTCTTGAATCTCAATTTTTATATATGATCCAATTTAGTTGCAGTGAATTATTCTACAGTACTCTATCACGAATTTTAACTCATTCATATCATAATTCTCGCATACTCCCTTCATGAGTTAGTTACGTTTTCTTTCATTGAAATGATTTACTTATGGGTTACAAGTTACATAATAAACAAAATAACATGAATTTTAGGATTTTTTTTTTTCCTTATGAAATCTGTAAAACACAGTTAGCTTATTTTAAACAGAAAATCCGAAATATCCCATGTTATTGGCACCGCTAACAAGTGCCCGACTTCAACAAGAAGTTTAGTGGAGATAAAATTTGCCTTAGCCATCAATTACCTTTAATTAATCCATTCAATCATTCCATTTGTCCCTTAATCAATAATTAATGTAATTTTTTATTAATTAATAATGGGATTTGTTTGAACATCGCTTCTTATCCTCAAATTCCACAGGCTACCCTACTGTACACGTGCCCACAAGACAAACTTCACGTGCACGGTATGATTGGGTTGTATGCTGCCACGTCAGCTAATTCGGATGTCGTCATCCCCAATCGAACGTTCAATATTGTTGGATCAAAATGCTTGATAATTATTGTTATAATATGTTTGAGGGTGCACAGTAAGAACCACTTTATCCCCCAGGCCGAAGTTACCAGTGCCATCTCAACCGTTCGATGAAGAGTATGGGAAAAAAGCCTCTGCCTGTCTTTAAATGCTGGAGGAAGGTAGTGTCAGCTTGACAGGATTTTCTTTGGTGAGGAGGGTTGATAACTTGAGGGGCGTGATGCAGATGATGAGGGTAGATGGTTAGGGTTTCGATTTCCTCAATTTAGTCATTACGTTGTCACCGGTTTTTGGTTTTGCCAGAAAGAAGCTCTGCTTGTCTAGTTGCTTATTTTTTTGCCCTTTTAATCCTCCGTTATATCATATCTATTTGAGAGAACAGAAAAGTTCAGGTTTTTGGGAGGGAAGTTTGGAGATTTCAGTGACATGAAAGAATACTTCAGGTCTCTGATCATTTAAGCCTGGGCGTTGATGGTTTTTATCCGAAGTCTTCTTTTAACGCTGGGTTTTGATCCTGATCATATTTTTGAGGTCATTAATTTAATTTTTGAGCCCATGGCTGTTATTCTTTGAAGGAAGTGTATAAAGAAAATATTTTTTAGCTTTCTGGTAATGAGAATGGTTACCATGTCAAGGAATCTCTTGTATGAAAACAAATTTTAGTCATTTGAGTTCACCAAATATATATATATATATATTTGCAGTTAGGTTAGATTGTATTGGCGGATGATTGAATTCTGTTTGGTTGAAAATCATTAGGTTTTGGGGGAAAAAAAGGTAAGTAAACCACTGAATCTAGGCTTAGTTTAGATAACTGACTTGGTTTTGGTTGAAGAAATCATTGAATTCTTTCATATCTGAGGAAACGTTGTCAAATCTGCTGCATCCAGTCATTCGTGCTTGAGATTTTTTGAAGATTTGACCTTCAATTTTATAAGCCTCTGTTTCAATTGATCATGGATGCTCTTCCAGTAACGATTCCCAATTCCGCCTCCTAATTTGCGTCTTGCATTCCCCTCATAATCCTTTTGCAATCTTTGGCCTCCGAAAGAGCTTACTCATCGGAACCTTTCAGCTCGGAATCGAACCATGGCCGTCTCTTTAACCCGTTTCTCCTGTTGGCTATGGGGTAGCAAGGAGAAAGAGCCTGTGTCCAATAGTTCTACTCTGAATTCATCTTCTGATTGGGGTTTCTCTCTTAAGGAACGAGAGACTGTGAAATTTCCTTCGGTGAAGGGAACGAAGATCACAGCATCTCACAGGAAGGTTAAACGAAAATGGCAGAGCAGGGAGCAGAGGAGGGTCGACAGGGAGTACGACGTCGTATTGGTGCCATCTGACGGTGGCGTGTGTTTGTCGGGATCAGAATCTGATGACTCGGACTGGTCTATCGGTTGGCTGGAGCCTCACGGCTCGGAGTTTCAGAGCGATGATGAGTCGGATAATAGTTTTGCGGTGTTGGTTCCCTGCTATAGACCTGGCTGCAAGGAGGTGGAGAGTTCAAAAAACGAGCTTTTGAGTGCGATCAAGAATTTCCCAGATGAATTCTCTTCTGGTAAGAGCCAAGCTTGCTTCTTGGAAACAGTAATTTGAAGTCTCATTTCTTGTGATTAACTGTTTGTTTTTTCTTTCGAAGCTAAAACAGCTTTTGTTTTGTTCTGGTGGTTTTTCTTTCTTCTTTAAAATTTTTATGATTTTATTATTTTTGTGGATCTGTAAGTTGGTTTGACCATGCTTTTGTATGATTCTGATGAACAATTCTGTTGTGATTACCAAGATAATTGTTGGATCTGGGACTTTTTGCTTTCCATAGTGAGAAAAACGAAATAGGTCTTTCTTGCTTGGTTAGTAGCTTGAAGCAGCCATAGTAAATGGGTTGTTTTTTTTTTATCAAAACTATTGCACAAGATAAAAGATTCTTTTCCCTTTAACTGTTTTAGATGTGGCGATAAAAAAACTTCATTACCTATCTATTTTTATATTTTACGAAGATGCTTATACACGATAGAGAAAGGTAATCCATTGCAATAACTCAATTATTCTGATTCCTCAATTCCACATCATTCAAGCAGAGTCAAATAATTGCTTCTTTTTGGATTCGTGGCTTGAATTGGATGCTTGAGTTATTTGACCATGGGAAGTGATGTCAACCTAAACTTTTAGGACTGTCAAGTCTGTGTTGAAGAATGAGCACTTGTTTCCCGGCTGCTTGAACTTGTATTGTAATATAACACAGCGTGAACAATTTATCACGCCACTGATCGTGCATGAGCATGATCCATATAAAGGCTTGGACTTTTCAAAAAGAAAACTTGTGAAAAATGGAAACTGATGGCCCTTTTTTTGAAACCTCTTCCTGCAATAAACGAGGCTGATGCGTTTTGCTCCATGATTATGTTGGACACATCTATCAGTTATTCACGAAGTATGCAAATTTTGGCTTGTAATGATCCATCTGTCTTTTTAAGATATGGTTTTGAATGTGGATTTGAATAATGCAGGCAAGAACTATCTGGAACATTGGCTGGCTTCTCTTGAAAATTTTGAAGCTTAGTACTAATGACAAGTGGACCTTTCTGACAAGAACTACCACAAGTAATGAACATTGATGAGAACTATTGCCTCTCCTTCCTAGGATTTAGCATGTTTTGAGAAGATTCAAACCTGTGGCCATTTTGCTGCTGGGGCATGTTAGCTGTCATTGTAGATACCATATTTTATTGTGAATATGTAAATAGAGTAAATGGAAGCAAAATGAGGGAGATAAATAGGCCTAATCTACATGCTTTTAGTAGTGTTTCAGTCTCTCGTGTAAAATGACCGCCCATTTTTCAGCCCTAATGAAGCTCAAATCATTCTGTGTGTGTGTGTGTGTGTGTGTGTGTGTGTGTGTGTGTGTGTGTGTGTGTCTACTGTAATTAGAAGACTATGGAACTGTTTGGTTCCATTATTCTGCAGAATCCATCTGCACTGGTCTTTCCTTTACTTTGGATCTGAACACGCAGTATACAGGCAATGTAATGATTGCAGGGGATTGTCAAGTTGAAGTCTGCACCACAAATGAGGAAAGGTTGGGCATGTGGGGTGAAGCAGGAAGGACCACATCGATGCCGGTTGGTAAGCAGATCACGTAAAGGTTGGTGGGTATTGTTTGCACTTTGCCAGATCGAGAGTGAAATGCGAGCCAAGAGCCATTAGATTACTGTGACTCCTTATCTCGGCCTCTTCTTCATGTGGGTTTGGTTCTCTCGCTTTCTGAGACGGCATCTTCACGATCATCAACCGAAGAAGCCACTCACCAACGAATTTATTCCTCAATTCGATAAGAAATTGACGCCTTCCCTCTTACCCCTTGTCATGAAAAGTCACACACAAGTCCCTCATTCATTGAGGTTCATTCTCATTTCAAGACCTAGGTCCTTTTGGTTACTAAAAAGTGCTGAGAATTATGAATGAAATTGATTGAAAGAAAAAATAAAGATAAAATTAATATTATCAAAAGAAATATGTAAACTACGTTAATAAGAAAAGGGGGTAATTAGTTTGTGCAGTTGGAAATTATGAATCATGAGGTTTTTGAAGAGTACAATAATTTTCACATTTTTAATATATATTAAAAATTTTTATTATATTTATTATGAGGGAAAAAGGTAATTTAATTTATTTTTATTTGATTTTTTTAATCCATTATATTTCCTCTAGTGTAAATTACAAGATACTTTTAAATAAATTCTTATATACTAATAAATTTTATTAATTAAACTTAACTTTATTTTTTTAAAATAAAAATATAAACTTTTAAAATTATCCTTCATTTAATAACTTTAAACTTATATTTAATTAGTATTAAATAGAGAGAGAAAGAGTAATATTAGAATAAATTTACTTAATAAAATATTAAACTTCTCAAAGTGTCTTATAATTTGATACAGCAAATTTACTTCAAAAGTGTCTTATAATTTAAAATAAAGTGAGTATTACATTCCTTTCTAGTAATAAAATAAGACCATAAATATATGCACAGTTGCAGGCTTTTAAGTCCTGGACAAAACCTAATATTAGAAATGACAAGAGCAATGAAAATATGTATGTTTTAACTTAAAATCTCGAAAATCAAATTCATGAGTCTTTCTATTTTATCATATATTATTTATTAAGTTTAATTGAATTAAATCCAACTTAATTTTATTTAATGTAGATTTTTTTATATTAATTTAAGTTCACACACACTTAAATATTCTAATAATAATTAAGCATTTATTTGGTTGAGTAGTTTGCAGAGATAAAAATCGTGAAGTTTGAAAGAGATTGCTTTGAAAAAGTATCTTTTAGTTTTTCTAAAATGTTTAACCTTGATCATCGAAAAATTATTACTTTTAAGATGCGAGTGAAAGTAAATATATTTATTTATTAGTCTCAAATATTAACTACTAAGGGAATGCGAAAAAAAGGAAGAAGGGAAATTTGATGCGATAACAGCAAAAACCGCCTGCAAATGAATTGGGATTGGGTGAACACTGTTTTTTAAAAGAACAAGTGTGGATTCGAGTTCAGGACAACAAAAAGAATGTCAAGCTGAGCCCAGCCCACAAAGAATGGGTGATATTTTTTTTAATAATAATCAATAAAATTTTTTGAAGCACATGTGGTAAATTAATTTTTTTACAAGTATTTAAATTCCAAATTTCTCAAATATGTTTAGCATCTTATGTGAATCCTTAAGTTTCGCTTCCCACCTTTTTCTGTTTGTCTTGCTTTCTTGTTCTTATGCGCGTCGTATTTTTTGAAAAATATAAAAGAAGTCCATATAAAGCAACGACGATGGGATGATGGTTAGGTTATAGGCATATAAACTTTGACTTTAAAGACAGTACGATGAAGTTATGTTGGTTTGGAAGCTTCTTATTATTAGAGTAATCTAATCTTATTCTTTGGACGTTTGATTTATTAGGATTTTACAATAAAGAGCTTTGAAAATGTCCGTCAACCACTAATTAATACGCCAACCGCACACCTTATTGTTCGAGGCATGTTTTGACCCTATTTATTACGGTGGTCTTTTCTTAATCAGCCATCATAGTCTTAGAGGGTAAAAAAATACCAAGTTTCGCATGTTTTGTAAAGAAATATTTTAAATCTTAAAATTATATTGAATTAGCATGCAAGTACTTCTGTGTGTTTTTAATAACACAAATTAATAATTACTAGTATCAATGATGGTTTCCTCAAATAAAAAAAACAAAATTCAATATGCTTGAGTAAATATCAATTATATGTGGCAGTGTGGGGGGTTTTTCGGAATTTAGCGTATATGGTTTTCGCCAGGTGTCACTCCCTGGCTGGTGCAAGCTGGATTTTTCCGATGAAACCAACTCTGTGGGTTGTTTTGTATTATGGAGTGAAAAAAAGAACCATAATATAAAAATTTTCAATTCAACTTTTTATTAGAAAATTATTTCTAACAATACAAACACAACATTTGGAAAAAAGCCTCGTTGGTTCAAACTGGGAGAATATGATACTGGGAATATTACATTCTATGAAATGTCGGCACCTGGGAATATGCAATTGTGGTATTAAAGTCCAAAGTGACTGTCCACTAGCTGGATTATGGGATTTAGTTAATTTCAAATTACTAAAAATTTTAGATAAACATAAAAAGATAAATTAAAAATAATTCATTTCCAATTCCAATAATCTAATATCGTTAATAAATGTCGATCTAGAGAAGGTGGTCCCTTGGCAAACAATGCTTGATTCCGTTTTTTGTTTTTATATTTTTAAAACAATTCTGTAAGGTAGTTTTTTAAAACAAGTTTTGAAAAATAAAAGGTGAAAAAAATATGTTTGAATCATTATTCTGAAAAACATATCTTAAGTGGTGAAATAAATGGTGAAAAAATTATTTATTTTATTAACATAATTATCATTTATAAAAAACATGATATTTCATGTGTTTTCTTTAGTTTTGTAAATATCAAAGTAACAAAATATCAAGAAAGATGTTTTGATTTTTTTAGTTTTTATTTTGAATTTTTTATTTTTTTAAAAATGGATATCAGAAAACATATTGTCACACTATTTTTTTTGGCTTTTTTTTTTTTTTAAAGTACTGAAACATGTTATCTAACAGGTCAATATTTCTAAGGTTAAATGACATTTACTTTTTAAAACTATTTTACAAGAGCACTAATTATCTTAAACTATTTATTAGAGCAATGTTGCCTATCAAGTATAAAAAACTATTACAATATCAACTGGAGAAATTGGCGCATTTACTTCTTTTTAACATCAAAACATTTGATATTGTGTATAAAGTGTCACGTACAACTTGAACTAATAATCAACTGGTAATGTTGTCACAAATTTTACACACACACACACACACACAGAGACTTGTTAACCAGACGGTTATCGATAACAAAATTTCTCAACCTATAGTAATGGTTAGCATCTAAATATAATGCACATGTTTTAGTTAAAAAAAAATAGGAGGAAGAAATCGATATTATTTGACCCTCCAACTAAACATTGCATGCTAAATCATGAACAGGTATAAACTCATAATCTTTTAGAAATAAGAGATGGCTAAACCTTTGAGATACGTAAAATTAAACTGGATTTTAATGAAAAGGAAGGAGGAGGAGCAAAGAAGGTTCATTGGAATTTTAGAATAAAACGAAAACAATAAAGGTATGGTGGTGTGGGAGCCTAAAATGAAATTGATGTATGATATTATGATCAATTAATGAGTAAGATTTAAGTATATACTTAATTATATTTTTTGAAAGACTAGAATATTAGATAAAGCGTGGCCGCGGCCACGGCCTGCAGGGTCGGTTTGTAAAAGCAACAGAAGGGAAAGGTGCTTTCTGCTTTGCCGGTTGATCTGGAAGGAGTTTGCTGTCGCTGGCACGTGGGTCATCATGTTTATTTTGCGTGCGAAATTTGTAATTCAACACTCATCACATCACTTTTTCTTTTGCATTAGACATATTCGCAAACTCATAACGATGCAGTCAATTTTTGGTTTGCATGAGAGGTTGATATATAATGATATAATAGGACTTGACAACTCAACCATTCCCACCATTGGGATAACAAACAATGTATGAACAGAAAAGGCTTATATGTGTAATACAATAACAATATACGCGAAGCTTTTTTGTTGTTGTTTTGGCTGCAACGCTTTTTTCAGAAAGGAAGGTTCGCACAATAAATTCGGCCGAGATTTGCTCCCCTCCATCATCCTCATAATTTGCACCAAGTTTCTTACTTGCACGTTCTCTCTCTCTCCCTCTCCCTCTCTCTGTCTCTTCTCTGTTTGATTTAATCTCTTTCCAATCTTTCAGTCATGTCATGGAATCCACGTCGTCTTCTTTAATTAGGCAGATTAACAGGAACAGAGCTTCCTTGTTCTTGCTTCGCTCAACAAGATCCCTGTTGCAGCAAATATAAGGGGAGGAGGAAGAAGAAGAAGGAGAAACCAATATGTTGCATAGAGCAGCAAACAATGCATATTCATGGTGGTGGGCCAGCCACATCAGAACAAAGCAATCAAAATGGCTGGAGCAAAACCTTCAAGGTCAGGATTTTTCTGTGTTTCTTTCTCTGAAAGAAAAAGGACGCCTTCAACTTTCTGACATCTATCTTTTCTGGTTTGTTTGATCCATAAAGCATTCTCTATTGCAATAACCAAGAGTATTGACCTTCTGTCTAAATTCATTTAAGAAATGCATGGCTAACTATTTGAACATTGAATAAGCTCTAAATGGAGTAATGGACTATTTATTTAATGAAACTTTCACCTATTTTTGCTTCACATGTAACATAACTGGGCACAAAAACTTTCACTTCTGCTTGGTATTGATATAAGAAGTTTTCACTTCCTTAAAGTTGATAGAGAGGTTTCTTGCAATGCTAGAGGATTTTTTAAGAGATATTTGAGAAATCCTGAGATATACTTCTTGTAGCCAGCCAGAGTAACAAGTTAACAAAAAAATCATTAAAAGAATGGGTGTGTTAGTGTCAAGATACTTTTGTACGAAATACCTGCTTGGGTGATTTTTCATTAGCTTCTTGTACAGTCAGCTAGTGAATTTTCTGAGATATTTAACATAAGCTTGGTGTAATGTAATGGTTTTTTAATGCAATTTAGAATAGAGATGGCGTCTTAATTAGAAAATCACAATTCACACCCACTTCACCAATGGCCTTCATTCCAATCTAGAAGTGACACAAATAGCTTGAGGAAACTGACAAGAGTTCGATAAACATGCAGATATGGAGGAAAAAGTGCAGAATGTTCTGAAACTTATAGAAGAAGATGGGGATTCCTTTGCAAGGAGAGCAGAAATGTATTACAAAAAGAGGCCAGAACTGATATACTTTGTGGAAGAATCATATCGAGCTTACCGAGCTTTAGCTGAACGATATGATCACATATCAACTGAGTTGCAAAATGCAAACACCACCATTGCTTCTGTCTGCCCAGATCAAGTCACCTTCATGGAGGATGATGATGATGAAGCATCACCAATGTCACCAAGGGTCCCCAGAAAACTACCAGAAGGTTTCAAACCACCAAGCATCCCAAAGCCTCCGGTTAAAGATTTTAAAAGTGCAAATGTAGCAGCACCGAAGAAGTTGTATTCCAAGAAGACATCCACTGCAGAAGCTAATGCCAGAGCTCCTAAATCTGGACTGAGCAAAAAGGAGGCACTTGAAGAGGTTGACAAGCTTCAGAAACAGATTCTGGGACTGCAAACTGTGAAAGAGTTTGTAAAGAGCTCTTATGATAATGCCATTGCAACGTACTGGGAAACTGAGGAGCAGATCAATGAGTTACAAGAGAGAGTTTTCAGTTTACAAGATGAGCTTGGTGAAGTTACTGTTATTGATGACAATGAAGCTCGTCGTTTGATGGCAGAAGCAGCTCTTAAATCATGCCAAGAGACATTGTCACAGCTGCAAGAGAAGCAGGAAAAAGCAATTAATGAAACCAGGATAGAGTCCAAAAAAATACAGGAAATCAAGAAGAAGTTCGAGTCACTCAAGGATGACTTTCAATATAGTCCGATTAATCAGACAGAGCCAAGGACCAAAAGAGATGAAAAAGAAGTAGAAGAAACAAAAGGCTTGGATGACGAAGGGAGAATGACACAGCAGAGACAGGACCTGCGGATTTTACAAGGGAAGATAAAAGAACACTTCGAGGCTGGGTCCCATTCATCTCTCAGTGTGACAGAAATGGCACAGAAGATCGATGAGCTTGTGAATAAAGTAGTAAGCTTAGAAACTGCAGTTTCATCCCAGACTGCTCTGGTGACGAGATTAAGAACAGAAGCTGATGAACTTCAATCACAGATTCAAGCTTTGGAAAATGACAAGGCAAATTTAATCGATGACAAAAATAACTTGAACAACCAGCTGAGAAAAATGGAAGAAAAGATGCATGGAGTACATGATCTAAACCAAATTGTCGAAAGCCAGCATATGAATCTCCAAACCCATTTTACTGAAGCACATTGTAATCTTGATCATCTCTCAGAGAAAGTCCAAAATTTTCAATCAAATGATGCAGAGGACACAGATTGTTCTGAGAGAGAAAGGAAATCATTAGGTGATGCCGAACCAACGCATGAGGTTAAAGGAGAAGATGCACTGAATCAAGACAATGTCTTATTGCAAGATGTAAATTTGGATAAGAAGCATGAAGTCACCGATTTAGAAGAAGATGAAGTGAAGTCACTCAATGGTTCTATAGAGGATGGTGTGAAGACAGAAAACAGGCTTATGGCAGCTGGTTCATTCAATGGTGATGTCAAATCAGATAAGGAGCTTAAGGTTACAATTACACATATAATGGACGAGGCACATCCAGTGGTAAACAAAATGCCAAGTGAGATGAAAGAGCAGGATGGAAATGTTAATCTCAACAATGGTGAAGAAAAAGCTAGAGATACTCTGAGCGATGATACTGAAAAGATGGCAGAAAGTTCTTCAGACAGCTTTGTAAACCAGCAGGAGATTGATGCAAAGTCAGATCAGGGGCTTAAGGTTACAATAACAAATATAACAGAAGAGGTGCATCAAGAGGAAAACAGATTGCCAAGCGAGCTGAAAGAGCAGGAGGGAACTGTTAATCTTGACAACGGTGATGAAAAAGCTAGAGATACTCTGAGCACTAGTGCTGGAACAATAGCAGAAAGCTCTCCTGACAGCTTAAAAAAACAGCAAGAGATTGATGCTAAACCAGAGTCATTGGATACACATAATTCTCTCAAATTTGAAGCCCAGGAACAGGCAACAGCACAAGAAGATGAACCAAACTGGCAGAAACTATTTATGGATGGACTACAGGATAAAGAGAGAGTTTTACTAGCAGAATATACAAATACTCTTCGGAATTTCAAAGATGTGAAAAAGAAGCTCACTGAGCTGGGGAAGAAAAATCAAGACAGTGACTTTGATACATCCTTGCAGTTGCAGGAACTAAAGCGTGCTATTGCTTCAAAAGATGAAGAAATTAGATATCTGCGTCAGAAACTGGATCTCCTGCAGAAAAGCTTGAAAGGAAATGAGGAATTGATGAAGCTAAATTTACCAATGCCAGCAGAAAACATTGATGAAATCTTAAAAATTGAGGCATCTGACGGTACCTCAGCCATAGAAGAGAAGTTCCGGATGAGCATTGATAAACTTCTAGAGGAGAACTTAGAATTCTGGTTAAAATTTAGCACTATTTTCACCGAGATACAGAAATTCGATACCACCATCAAAGATCTAGCAACCGAAGCATCAAAACTTGGCGAAATATTGAAGGCTTCAGAGGGCAGTACTAACGCAAAATATTCTCTAAAATCAGATGCACGACCAATTTACAAACACCTTGAAGAAATCCGGACGGAACTAACAGTCTGGTTGGGAAAAAGCGCATTACTGAAGGAGGAACTGAAATACAGGTTCTCATCCTTGTGTGACATCCAAGAAGAGATAACAGTGGCACTGAAAGCCAGTGCTGAAGATGACGAATTCAAGTTTACGAGCTTTCAAGCGGCCAAGTTCCAAGGTGAGATTTTGAACATGAAACAAGAAAACAACAGGGTTGCAGATGAGCTTCAAGCAGGTCGAGACCATGTAACGACTCTCCAACTTGAAGTTGAGAAGGTGCTTGCGAAATTGAATGAACAGTTTGGGCTCTCGACCACAAATGGACCCCAAGCTTCCCATTTGAGAAGTCTGAATTCTCGGACCCGGGTTCCTCTAAGGTCATTCATCTTTGGTGATAATCCGAAGAAACAAAAACCATCAATCTTTTCCTTCATGGCCCTTGGAATGCATAGGAAGTATCGTTCAAGACCAAAGACCCCCATGTAAACTAGCCCTGATTGTTTCTTTTTCTCTTTTCGTTGTCTTTTCCTCGCTCGTAATTTTTTTTAAATGTTTCGTTAGGCAGCGAATGTGAGTTAGAGTGCCCCGCTAAACCTTACTTGCCAGCTATACATTGGTTTGAGCTTGCAGTTACACGCACTAAAATATGGGTGTCGGGATTTTACTTTGTATTTTGATCATTTTATTTTCACATGTATCGATGATTCATTGTTTTCAAATGTTGTCTCCTGAAAAGCAAACTGCCCGTGAACGATATGTTATGACACTAAAGCTGAATCAAGACTCAGCTCCTACTTAACAGTTAACACACAGCATGAAAATGTCCTGGAGTTTGAAGGCTGCAAGAGCATTGGCAAGTTAGAGGCATTTTTTTTTTTTAACTGAAAAGTTAGAGGCGTTTAAAGGCAAAATCTGACGGATCATCCCTCATTTTATATAAGTGCATATCCGGTTTGTTGGACCTGGTTCCTTCTGACATGCATAGGTGATCATAACCTTGCCTTGAGCATAAACAAAAAGTTGGGGCAAACAAACAAGAGGCAAGGAAGATAAAAAAGTTGACAGGGATGAGAAATCTTCCTGAAGTTTTGCTATCATTTCAATTTTTTATAAAATAACAAATCATTTCATGATTTTAAAGTGGTTAATTTTTTCCGAGGAAGAAGAAAAATGAGACTTTTCTAAAGCTACGAGAAAAACTTTGCAGACAACTATAATTCCAATCCGTGTAAAATATATATGTGAGATAAAAAAAAAAATAGGGCAATACCATGTGAAGCATTATAGCAGCTGGCAGTTGAAACTTAGCATTAGGACAATAAAAGTGGACAGATAAAAGTCTGATTAACTTGACAAGCGCCCCTAATAGTACTCGACAACAAGAAACAGCCACAATTTTGAAGCCTTAAGTATGCCCACGAAAGACCATTCGATGTGATGAGATTAATTCTCCTTAAGCTCACTTGAACGATACATCTGATACTATCTTGGCTCCCCTTCCCCTGGCCATGTAAAGGCCAATATGATGCAGCAGCTCCTGTCAAAAAGGAAAAAAAAATTAAGAATAGACAGGTTAAAATATCATACAAACAAGGGGCCCATAAAAAAACATCGATGGCAGCATTAACTTGTAAATAATATAAGGTGAAATTTACAGGCCCAAAGTGGGTCTGATCCTCTCTGAACCCCGCGCATAGAGCTTAATCTACCGGGCTGTTCCTTCATAGGAGAGGAAGGGTCAGGGGAAAAAATGGAACTAGTTCATTGCAGGGGGATTTTCTAAGCTAGAAATCTAGAATAGTATATTCAAGACCTCCAGCCATTTAAATAGTCTATATCCTGTGCTTCTTCTTGGTAACCCATTTATACTTCTTACTCCGGTCCAGCACCAGTTTTTATTTCAGATAACTCAACTAAGCAACATTGAAGTCGCTAAGTCCTAAATGGTAAATTTAAATAACCAGCATCAGAAGGGCAGAGCATAATTGTGTGTTTAGAGGCTCAAAGTAATCAAGGCATTGTTTCAGTCAAAGTTGTATTTATGATAACTATGTAATTTATCACAACCAAACTTCAACTCAACGACCTGCGGATGAGCTATCACATCGTTGTTAATTCTGGCCATATGAACTGGAATATCATATGTAGCACAAGCATGGGAATAGACAATCACATCGTCCAGAGGAGAAAGAAGACGCCGATTTCTAGCAGACAGAGCTGAACAGGCAAAATCCAGTACACATATATCCGTACATATCCCAACGACCAAAATCTGTGAAGGACAAACAATGCAAAACAACAAATCAGGCCAACAATCTTGGAATTGAAATGAAATCAAGTCAAGACAGACTCACAACCATGTTAATTGTTGATGGAAATGTTTACTTGTTTTATCTGATGATTTTTCACCCAATCAATGAAAACGTTACGGCCATCTTCCTCAATTGAACCAAGGAATCCATCGACGCAATCTTTGCACCTGACTGTTGCATTTGGTTCATTTTCCAACCACAGCAGTTCTGCAATTGAGGGAAAATAAAATTGATAAAGGAGAAATTCACATGTATATATCATCAGTCCGAGTGACGAACAATACCAGGAACCAATTTTGCTTCCTCTGTTCCGGCAATACAGTGAGGAGGATAAGGAGGCTCAGGAATATCCCGGTGATGGGTATCAAGAAAGGCAAAAATAGGCCATTTCTTTTCAGCGAATACTCTTGAGAGCCTCACTGATTCATCTACCATCCTAGAAATTTGTCTGTTTGGTTGCCTTGGGGCCTATAGAATGCCAAAATAGGAAAGAGCATTTCAGTCATTGACAAAATAATGAATTCGTGTCTCAGTCCAATTAACAAACATGAAACAAGCTAAATTCAAGTACGCAATTAGATTAAAAAAAAAAACGATCGAGTGAATCATATGAAAGTAAACCGCAAGGAGCACCGAAAACAGTTTATGGAGGTCAGCTTACCAGATTCCCAGCTCCAACGGTGCAGAAGCCATTGACAACATCAACGAGGACGAGACCTGTTTTGATATCGCCAGACAAAATAAGAGGTTGTTGATCCACCGGGAGTTCCTCCTTTAACAAATCAATCGTCTGAGAAACCATTCTCCCTCTTCTCTCTTTCCGTGAAAATAAAAATAGGAAATACAAATGAAACCTGGAAGAATCCAAATCGAGACAGTGTTGCCGGATTGACGAACAGGGACTAATATTTTACTGGCCGAGCATTCGCTTTGGTTCAGTTTTTCCACGCGCTCTCTGTCATATATTACTATCGAATTGTCAGAAGAAGGTAAGTCAAGGAACAGGAAGAATCAACCGAAATCCCAGTCAACACTAACGCAAAGCGAGAAATGCCAAGAAAACGCTCGTATCTGCCCAGCCCAAGCCAAAAATGTCCACTAAAACCTTGTCGACCGTGACGGGCTGACGGCGATAGAAAAATAGTAAATTATGCTTATTTTTTTTAAGATTATTATATATAGATTGTTTTTTTTTTGTGCCAACATCATTATATATAGATTAAAAAAAATACAATAAGCAATAAATTTATAAAAATATGATATATTTTATTATATTTATCTCTCAATACTAAAAAAACCATTAATGTAAAAAAAGTAGTAAATTACTTCAAAAATGAAATAAAAAAATGTTATTAAATACTGTTTTAAAATTCTTAAAAACAGTAAAAAAAACATGTACCATGGAACAAATTTTGTGGTGCCCATGACATAGTTAGAATGGAATAGAGTAATGAATGAAGATAGGCTGAAAAATAAGTGATTGAAGTTAGGCTGTGCTTTTAAACCAAAAAACAAAATCAATACAACAAGGCCTAAACCCAATGTTGAAACTTGACAGGAACAGCGGAAGTAGGCCTGATTGTTGGGTGGATAGTGTTGTTCGCATTCAGCACGCAAAAGGTGGCATTGCAATGTTGGGCCTAGAAATTGGACTTGTGGGATCCAATTTCGAACTGGATATACATTCACTAATCAAATTTACTTTAATTGGCTACATTTTTGCTTGGAATGTGAGGAACACCAAAACTTTATATTTTACTTTTTCTATTTTTGGCAAAGAAAATTTTATACTTATATTTTACTTGATGCATTTTTTATATTTTATGCATGAAATTTAAGTAATAAATCAATCGCATAACTCATTCCATTCTTCTTCTTATTAAAAAAATGACAAGTTATATCATAACTATTGAACTATATAATTTATAGTAAATCAATTGCATGATTTAAGGAATATATAGATGTCAGGTGAGTCGAGTATGGGATAGAGTTTCAGAAATTAATCGCATGGTTTAAGATTAAAAAATACAATTTATTCGTGGAGAGCATTTTTTACACCTTTTTTTTTTTTTAGCAAAGAGGATTTTTTACACCTACTCGTGGTAGTTTTGTTTTAAGTGACTAGACTTGTGTCTGTCTGGGAGTCAACGGTCCAGATTCATCGGTAGGCCGTTTATGGTGTGAGAAAGGAGCAATCGTCTTTCCGTTTCTTCCCTCCGAAGGTGCCTCCGATCTGATCGATCGATCGATCGCCAAGGTCCGTCAGCATGTGTTACGGCCACCAGCGATCCTTATCTAGAGACAACACCAACACCCCTACCACCGGCAGGTTGCCCGCCCGCAACTTCTCCGTCGTTGAAAACCTCCGGAATCGGCTTGCGGAGACGGAGGCGCGTCTTGCGCGTGCCAGAGCTCGTGAGGCCGAGCTCAGCTGCCGCCTCGAGGAAATGAAGCGATTAGTCTCCGTCATGGAGATCCTCGAGGACTACCTCAAACGCCGGTTCCGGGAGACACAGGGGCAGGTGGCACGCCTCTTGTCTTCTTCATCGCGAACATAGAAGAATTTCGCTTGTCAATCATGCCTATACTATGATTTCCCATTTTCATGTTCTCTCTTCCTGCTTTTGTCTATTGCAATGTAAATGCTGGTTGTGGTGTTGTTTATGATAATTAAGGTTACTTCTATCAATCTCATAGATCTTCAAATTTCGTTGTTCCTTTTTCATCCTTTGAAATTCATTATCCCGGGGTCGTGTTTTACGTGAAGGTTGATTCCGAAGTTCATTGACAGATGCTGATAAAATTGAAATTGTAGTGAAGTGCTTCTCATTTTTTTGGGTTCAATTACGTTGATATTGCTATTATTTTGGTAGATTGAATTTTGAAGTTTGTAACTCGACTAGTGAAAGGAGCTGAAGAAGGTTTGAATAACTTTCAAAATTCATTTCCATGTGAAATGACTTCTCAATTCTGTGATTGTTGAAAATGCAGTGCAGATTTTAATGGTCCTTTTGGCTTTGTTGCCAACGACGCTGGTTTTTCAATTCCTCAACGGGAGGAGCTTCAACGGTAGTACTTTCGTTTGGACGACTAATGTGTTATTATTAATTCATTCCAGTACGTATAAATAAGTTTAATTGGCAACTATGTAACATTTCTGATCCTTTCATGCAGTTTCTAACTCTCTTCATTAAGCTACCATAGGGTCTTCTAGGTCCTGCCAAACGTATGGATTTGTCTACCCTTAGTTGTCAGTATCCCAAAAAAAGAACAAAGAAGGAAAGAAACCCCCAGTGCTGGAGCGTGCATATGCCGAACATGCAACTTGTTTTGTCGACGTTGTATTGCTGCTCTCTACTAAAGGTAAGGAGGGAGAACTGACACATGAAAGAAAATAGGAAGCAAGGAAGTTTTATCTAATATATTTGTCAAGCTGCTTTTTTAGTTCTGCAATTCCCTTACAGAAGGGAGAACATGGTGTCTGATGCTCCAATAATTTGTGACATTTTCAATTCCGTTGCTATTCCTTTTACCAGATTGAGGTGAATTATCGTCCTATCCTTTGGGATCTCTTTTCTCCCTCCCATTGAGTGGGTGCATGCCAAAAGATTTTGATCATCTACAGAGAGAATTGCAATTTGTGATGGATCTAGTGCATGTTATATTTTTCTTCAAGTTTAGTGTTCTTTGATACGAGACCATAGTAATGGCTTTTTAACAAATTTCATAATAAAATACGCGGTTATATCTGGTAGTAGCAGGGAACAGTGATATGCAAGGCATAAACGAGCCTGGAACAGGTGCAACTGTGACCCCGGAATGATTTTTTTGGATTAATTGCTGTAGTTTGCTGCCAGGATAATGGGCGGAGCCATAAAAGATCTCCATGTTTGTGATTGCTAAGAAACCTATTCAGGTGTTGTCCTATGGGATTTTGGACTATTATTTCTAGAGAACTAGGAGTTTGTTGTTATCTAAAAGTCTCAGGATAATAATAACAATTTTATATTTTATTTAAATTAATTTATTTTAAATAAATTGCTTTATGAGATTGGGTCTCTTTGTATATCCATCAAGGAGGGACTTCTACACAATCCAACATCTCCCACTTCCACTTGCAACGTCACCATATATCTGTTCTTATCCTGAATTTTACAGTGACGAAAGTACTCACTCCAGGAAATTGTCTCATGGTTCGTAATTATTGCGGCTAGCATGCCAGCAAGTTATGCCTCAGCAAGTATCCTTAATCTGTATTCCCTTTTAAGCGAAATGCCAAATTATATTTATGTACCCCTCCAGTGGATTTGCAATTAAGCATAATCTTGAATCCACAATTTCGGTATTCTAAGTAGAATCGGTACTCACCAATTATAATATAAGTTTTAGTTCAAATTCACCTGGTATCAATCTGATTGTTGTTGTCCTGGATACGTGAAAAAAAAAATGTTACTGTTTGTTGTTCATTGCCATATTTGTGGGGTATACATTTTGGGGGGGGGGGGTAGGCAAATGTTAGATCAGCTGGCACCTTATTATAAATGCTTGGTCTGGTATCATGAATATTCTTAGAAGATTTCTGTCAGGGATGAGTTTATCCTATCCAGTATGTATGCAACATGTGAACAAGAACCAACAGTTTGCTGCCTTTTGAATAATTTCATGGTACTGGATGAAGTGTTGCAAGTATTTTTGAGAATAATGGGTTTAAATTTTTTATATGAGATGGTTACTGGATAACTTAGTTGGCAGACCAGCTTGGATCTCACGTGAAATGAGCAGAAACATTTCATTCTATCCCATACATGCTTCACTTTATGTTTGTCTATGGTATTGCCAAATGACATGCCCTGTTGTGATTTATGCATTTGCAAGGCGATGCTTTTGACGATGGTATTGCCAATATTTTAGTATTTTCCCCGGTTAACTGAGAGGTGAAATACCTTTTGGATTCTTCCGTTAGTATGGTTTGCTTTAATATGGTGAAATTAGCTTTTGGAGCAGGTAATTAGGAAATCAAATCAAATACTGAGAAGGGTATGAACAACTTCCATGGTATTTTATTAGAGGTGAATGGACTTTTTAATTTAGATTTAACTCCAATATCCAACAAAAAATAAATAAATAAAGAAACTCCAGGATCATTGGATCAAGATTATTTTCTATTTTTTCCCCAATTCTTTTACTTTTATTACACTTCTTTCATTTTCATTAATTTTAGAACATGACCTTTTTTTTTTTTGGCCTGAACATGATAATTTGATTACATTTCTTTCATTCTCAGGATGGTTTGAGGGTGAGGTAAGAGTTTTTGAAAGATTAGTGGTAGGGCTAATAATTTAGTTGGGCTTTTTTACAGGAAAAATGATAATAAAATTTTACCAAAATATATAAATAACAATCAGGTTTTTTAAAATACAATGATTCTTATGAAATCTTTGGAATTTCAAGTTAAATGATTAAATTATCCCTTATTTAAAATAAAAATAACATGTTTGGTTTTATTTTCTTAATTATAATTTTTGTTTAAATAATCATAATTTTTGTTTTATGAATTGCGAAAATTAAATAAGAAAATATAACTTCTAACATGAAATTTATTTTATGATTAATAAATTAGTTTTGAAAATGACTAATTTCAATCACAATTTTTATTTAAATAATTATAATTTTAATTTTTATAATTATAAAAATTTTCATGTGAAATTTTTTTATCATTAAAATTCAAGTTTTAAAAATAATTAATCACAATTTTTATTTCAACAATCACAATTTCTATTTTATAAATTATAAAAATTGAATAATAAATTATAATTTATCACATGAATTTTTTTCAATAAATTTCAAGTTCTGAAAATAATCATTTACAATTTTTATTTAAAAAATTAAAATTTTTATTTTGTGAATCACAAAAATTAAATAAAAATTATAATTTTCACTTGAATTGGCCATTTTTATTTTAAAAAAATAATTTAATTATTTAATATAAAATTGTTAATGTCAACAAAGTATTTGAGGATTTCAGAGAAATTATAAGTGAAATTTTAGTATCCTTTTTCATATTTTATACTAAAACTCATCAATTAGATTGTCGGGACGGAGAGGTAGGCAAAATGACGACGATTTGTCAATATTCATTGAAGAGTGATGATGCCTCTCTTAGTGCGTGTCATTACTTTTTATCATTATATTTTATACGATTCGTAAAATTCGCTTCAAACTGGATGGAGAAGCAATGATCACCCATGAAGACTTTTTCAAAAAAAAAAAAAAACGACGATGAAGACGTTTATGTTAAATTGCCACTCTCTATAAACCAAAAAGATAACACCACTATCATGTGTTTGTTAGGGGAAAAAAAAGTTTTATTTTTCTTTTTTTCTTTTGCTAAAGAAAATGTTTTATTTTTCTAAAACATGTATAAAGAGGGAGTAGTAGTATAAATAAAAAACAAAAGCCGAAAAGTCGACAACCGACAATTTTTAATTGGTTAGTTGCATGATGGAGTCATGAACATCAACAATTACTCCATTTAGGTTTGCTGGTTGAAGCAAATAGCGATGCTTATTTTATCGGTTAAAAAAATTACTACAATATTGTAACGAGAGTTTATAAGAGTGTGTTTGCATTTTTATATTTTTTAAGTTAATATGTGTGTATGTAGATGCTGATGAAAAGGAAATAAAAAAACTAGACTTTGTTTATATTTTTGTTCTTCTAAGCAATTTAGATTTTTAATTCATTGCAGTTTATGTCTTATAATCATCATAAGATCAATGCGGTGGCAATCACCCTTCAAATGGTATCAGCGTTGTTTAGATATCATTTAGAAGAATTTTTTTTTAAAAAATCTTTTCCTCGTTTTGAAGATTAGTACGTCATGCTTATTCTTGAAATGGGGTTTAAAAAATCATCTGAGTTTGACTCGGACAATTTTACATTTAATTTTTTCACTTCAAATACCATTTTACAAAAAAAAAAATTGTTATACAAGATTTTCTTTTTTTATTTTTTTATTTGAAAACAAAACCATCAAATTTCAACTTCTCTGAAAAGATTATGTCCGACAATTTATATTTCAATGATATTGTGATGCTCTCGTGTTTGAGATGGACATCTATTAGAGCATGATTTAAAAAAAATTGAAAAAGCACAGTAATAATGATAGAATATGGATGAGATTTAATTAGTTTTATTTTAAATATTTAGAGTTATTTTATTTGGATTATTTAAATAAAAATATTGAATATTTATTAAATTATTTAGGGTTTAATTAGATTTTTTTATCAATATCTTTCTCTTGATCATTTTAGATTTTCTTTATTTTCAATAAATAGGATATCTATACATATAAATTTAGATTAAATTTCATTTATTATTACTTTTAATATTTATAGGACTCTATAAATAGTCCTAAAATTTCTTAATTATATTTAAATTAATTTTAAATAAATTGAGTTAAATATTGAATCATCTTCTTTCTTTAAATTTCTCTTAGGTAATATTTAATTGGAGGAGATACCTCTCCTCCACCTTACCAAATAAGGGAACCCCTTGTTCCATCCAAACAAAGGGAGGGACTTCCCTCCCCTTGTTTGGTAAGGTGGTGGGAAGGAATTTTTTTTAAAAAAATTTTTCTCTCCTCCAAAAACTTTTCTTTTAATTTGGGGGATGCCTTTCTCCCTCCGCTTTTCTTGAATTAAATA